ATGGAAATAAATATAAATATTTATGTGAATTACATTTAATTATAAGTAATGATTATGTAAAAGTTTATTTTGTGATATTCTGTGATATCAAGAACCCTCCCTGAAGAATTATGATTATGCGAACTCTCAAACAAAGACTTTTGGACTGAAATGCTGAAAAATTCAATAAGAATATAAAAATTTATTTAAAAAAATTGATATTTATAAATTATACTTTACAGGACAAAAATTTTATGATTTATGTTTTTCTTTTTTTTAATTTGCTAGTGCTTTAACTTTTTCTCTTTAAAAAGGCTTCTCTGTCGCTACGCCTTTTTCTTTTTGAAGGGGGCAATATGCAAGATAAAATTATATGAATCAGAATTATAATATAACTATAAACATTAATTCTTCCTCTCTATTCTAAAATCGTAATAACTTCTCTGCATTGCGTCATTTCTAGATCACTCTAATGGCAATGCGCAGCTCTGATGACGTAAACGTTAATTGCAGATGCCTGTTGACCAACTGCCTTTGTACAAACCTAAAACTTTTCTCTTTGCGTGCTTCCATCTTGCATAACTATGCACTTCAGCTTTTGCTTTCTACTGTGCTAAGATGTAATTTCGCTGGCTTGCTTTCTATCTCAACAATATCAAAGATGTAAATTTTCTGTGGAAAGGCACGACTAGAGTGCCAAGTGATTGTGGCCACCAAATATCAGTTGCAAATAAAAATGGATATAAAACAGCCTCGACTGCCAAGTTCTTTAGATATTACCAAGTTAGCATTACTAGCATACTATGCAATCAAAATCTTCCTCAATATGGGTCTAATCATGCATCTACAGTGTTCCGTCTTTTCCTTTGCTTTTATTATGACATATATATACATATATTTTTATACTTTTTGGTGCGGCCGATTGCAACCAAAATGCGAGGTGCACATCTACATGTTATAGCAGTCCTATATACAAAATGAAAACGTTCTGAGGCTACTCATTGTTGAGTTATGCGAGATACATACGTATATATACACAGACGCCACGAAACATTCTCTTCAAAATTCATTTTAAATTAGTTTTACAATTTGGGGGGGAAAAAAAGAGTCCTCTATTCTGTCCTTACACGACTTGTTTAAGTCATGCAAAAACATCGCTAAATTGCATTCGATAGCAGTGAAAATGGATATTTGCGTTAAAATAAGATGCCCGACACTTTTCGCAATTACAATACTTCCTTTTTACTTCGTACAAGGAAGTAGAAAGAGACAGAGAACATTTAAAGAAGAAAGGCCAGGAAGAACCAGGAGTCTAAATTTAGTCAGCATGTAGTCTAGGTGGATAGTCAGCTTCTTGTAGAAATCATATCTAAACAGAAAAAAATGTACAAAATGTCACTCATGCCCTTAGATTCGATAGATGTTATTTCATAAATTGACATACTGCAGTATGTCAATTTATGAAATATACATACTGCACATTCGGTAATAAGCTACTTCTAATATACTGCACATTCGATAGTAAGCTACTTCTAATATATTTTACCTATTCACCTATTTTATCCTCTAATATATTTTACCTATTCACCTATTTTATCCTCTAATATATTTCTACTGACATACTGCACATTCGGTAATAAGCTACTTCTAATATATTTTATGCTCAGAAATCTCAAGTTCTCAGGAGAAAGTACATTCTCAATATTGAACTGCAATACTTATAATAATAAATTGCTTTGTTTCTTAAAATCATTTTTATAATTAGCAATAAAAATCACAAAATGAAAGCAGAAATTTTAAAGTTTGATAATTTGAAAGCTGATAATTTTGACATAGAAGAAAAATTTAGCTTAGTTGAATATAGTAAAGCAAGTGCTATCTACCTAAAGCCAGTGATGCTTCAGTGGTAGACTTTAAAAAAACAGGCTCATATTCATGTTACACATGGGAAGGGGGGAAGCTAAAAATGCCCATACAATCACAGCCTATTTGCTGGGATTCAAACCCAGATTAAACTACCAGTGTTCATACTCATTACACAACAAAAATGGCAAAACATTAAAAATCTACAAAATAAAATTGCCTCTTTTCAAGAGATAATGCAATCTCTTGAAAATTAAGCTATGGAAACCATCATTACCACTATCTCTTTAAATTTGATTTGTGTTACAATCTTAATGGCATCATTGTTTTAAACTTCAGAACTTTACTAAAGTTAATAAAAGCATATTATATTAAATGTTCATTAAATTGTGACCCTAGCGTTAACAAAATGTCAGTTTAGGTAAAACACATTTGGATAAGTTTGGAAAAACAGAGAAACTGAAATAACAATTCTGAGCAACTATAATAACTTAACTACAGCACCAAAAAAAAAAAAAAAAAAAAAAAAAAGGAGTGAATTGCAGATGCCAGAAATGTGCCTCAATTACACAAACTCTGCAAACTCGATGGCAATAATAGATGAATTAGAAGGTAATATGCCCTGCAGTCCTTTTCAGAAGGGGCCGTACCTTTCAGGCTAATAACAATAGCTGCTATTTTTGTTACAATAAAATGTTAATAAAATATACACATGCAAACAGCATAGCTCACCAACCTGGAAATGTGAAAATCTGGGAGATTTTTGCCACAAATTCATGTTGTATGGCAATGCAATTTAAAAGGAGCTCCAAGCTGACTTAAATTCATTTTATAATGCAAGATTCAGGCTATTAAATTATTTGTAACAATTCTGATGTGAAATGTTTTAGTATTTAATTGGATATTTTAAATTTTATGTTTTTGGCTAATTTCGTAAATTTAACCGAGAAAATCCTGAATAAAGAAGAAAGCCTTTTCATTTATCAAAGTACTTGTAAATACAATGAAAAATTAATTAATAATTAGTGCACATATTTATCATGATAAACAAGTAATGTCCCAAATAATCAAGGAAAAAAATATGAACTTATTGAACATTGGTTGAATCTCCATATAAAAACCTACAAATGTCTGCAGTATATTAAGACAATTCAGACAAAATGGAATATAATAAGCAAAAGTTCAATAACATACAAGAAAAAATAGAGCTCAGATGAATTAAAATTTTTAACAAAAAAAAAAAAAAAAAATTTTTTTTTTAAAATCATTAGGGGTGAAGGAATAGAATGTGCACAACTTTAAGTTTCCTTCATTCAATAAATTTCATTTATTGTTGTAAAACACATTCCTTTCCTTCCTAAAGGGTAATTAAAAATGGGGAGAATCAACGATCTACCAGGAGACGAAACGGAAGAGTTGGCAGCTTTGAAACAGCATAAATATGCAATGACCTCAATATTTCAGTGATCTTAACTTGATGAAGCATTTACAAATATTTTAAAGCACCATTACAGACCTTGTACCAATCTCTGTTCATTAATGGGTCTTCTATTATAAATACTGATCCCTACTGTACAATGCTGCTGCTTCAGAACTTATTGATTTGATACTTAAGATGGATTTTTAAACCATTATCAGAATAAAAAAGGAAGACTTATCACAGTAGCAGATAACTGCGATTAAGTTAATCTTCGGTGTACACAGTATTTTACAACTTGGTACCTTGCTGAAAACCACACACTAATAATTCTGTGGGAAAAAAAAAAAAAAACTTGAGTTTATTGATCATTAAATGGATCTTAAAGCCTATGCAGATTTTATTTTTTTCTCTTATTTATTTAAATATACTGTTTTAATGAATAAAACAAAAAATATACAAATTTTAGAACATAAAACATTTTTATTAAAAATTTAAACTGTTGTTTTAGGTGATAAGATTTAAATATTTATAAAAAATTTCATTCCAGAGATTTTCCAAACATTTTCCCTTCTTGAAGATGTTTTTCATTATTAAAATTAATCATGAAATGATCTCCGTGTTCCATATTTTTAAAAAAAAATTAAATATCCCTCCTTTTTGTCATTAAGGAGTTTTGCAATACCTTAAGCTTACCAACTGCTTCAAATATATTTAAAACCATGCAAAAATTTCATTTTGGATTAAATAAAGAATACTTTCACCTTCGAGAATTTGTCCACATGGTAAGCTAGTCTTAGTACACTTCTCCAATTTTACACTTATTTTAAGTCTAAACTATTGTCCTATATTTGGAATTCAAAATATTAAGTACAATTATTGCCTGCAATTTCTAATTTAACATGTTTAAAAGTCATGTACTATTAATGTTCACATTATATCACTCCACTGCTCACACTTTAAGACAAATATCTTTTTTCATTCCAAAATCAGATACATTAAAAGCTGGCAGAAAATTTCATGTGTAATAAATACGAAATCCACCCTTCCATATGGAATTTTCCGTCCATAAACACTGAGAGGGTTAAAGGAAAATTTATACAAATGATTTACTACCAAAACATTTGGCAATTCAAAGGAACACAGCAACTGGTTTGAAGATAACATGAATGATTTAAAATTGTATTGAACTTACTAGGCAGAAATATTTCATTACATGGAGCTAATTTTCAAAAGAATATATAATGTAACAATACAGTTATATACTATAATATAGACCTGTTTTATATAAAAGCATATAAACATAAGACAGTGAAAGATATACAAAATTACTTGAAAGAGGAAATTACATTTCTACTAACCCAAGAAGACAAGATGGAGAATAAGTACATTCAGTACATTTTTATATGCAATCAATTAGATTTGCAAGGTTCAATCAATTTCACAGTAGATGAAGTAGTTAATATTGCTAATCAGAAAATGTAACATGATTTCATATTTATGACTTCAGCTGAAATTTTTAATTTTATCATTTAACAAATAAAAAAAAAAAGCCAATAAAATGCTTAAAAAACTCACAATAAAAAGTGATGGCCATCTTAATTTTGAAAATATACAACATCTCACTGATTAATACATAGTTACAAATTACAAGTATACCTTGTTAGTAAAAAAAATATTTATCCAACAAGGTATATATAAAACCCCTTTTAGCCAAACCATTTTGCAACAAAGAGTCTACCTTATGATGTGCTAACACCAACACCTTTAAATGCATGGGTTAGGAACCTGGACCTTTTCAGAATGCCAGCTAAGCTATGGTCTTTTGCTTGTATCCTCTAAAATGAAAAATCTGCCTTTATTACATGGAATAATATAAAACTCAAAACATTCTTGCAAGTTAATTTTCTATACAAACTTATTATACTTTTCTTTACACATATATATTCCTGCATTAACACCTTAAGTGGATAGTTCAGGTCTGACCTGCCTCTTACATAATAGCTTTCTTGACTACAGACCATCCAACTGCAATAAATCAAACAAATCTTTCTTCTTCAATTATGAATTGAAATAAATACTTTACTTATATAATTACATTTTTTTTATTCTGTACCAATACGATGTCTTACTTACAAAGTTCTTTTCTCCTGTATACTACACATGCCCTTGTTCATCTTTCCGACGTTACTTCAAAGGGAAAGTTATAGCTAACTGCTCACTCAGAGTAACTATGAAACCATTCTGCATTTTTCACCAACTTGCTTTGCGCAAGCTTGTTATCCCAAATGAGTTACAAGATAGAAAACGCAACAGATGGTTACATTGGCCAAACCCACTGCAAATAACAAACACAAAAGGCTGATACATCCATTATATCCACTTAAGGACTAAGTTAATGCAAGACACCAAACAGATAGTAATTTGAGATCCTGAATTTCAATAACTACAATCTAAGATGGTGCTTATAATTTCCAATGAGAGTAAAAGAATTTTATATGAACCTGAATTAAACCATTAATTTTAAGATAAAAAAATGATTACTTTCTCTTAGATTGCAGCTCAAGTTTAAATATTCTAAGCCAGGGAGAATTCCCCCTGGAGAGGAATTTATAGTTTCAGGGGGAATGCAGTAAGCCTTTAATTGGTTAATCTTCGGATTATGGTAACTTGGCAGTTTTTAGGCGAAAATTTGGCGACCAACTCTGCTACAGCAACCTGCTAGTTTTTTTTTTTTTTTTTTTGATGCCGTTTTGTTTTCTCAAAGTAAATGGTGTTTTTTTTTTTTTTTTTTTTTTTTTTACTCAACATTTTTTTCCCAACAATCTGCTAGCCGAATTATGCTTACGCTAGAACTTTTATGGGAAAAAAAAGTGCTTAATCATGACGAAGATTAGGTGCGAAATTGGGAGAAAGTGCAGAATCACAAACTGCTTGCCATGTTTTTAAGAATTGCATGTACACGTCGTCCTATTTTCACTTAAAAAAAATATCCCAGAATTGCACAAAAAATGGCATTGCGCACACTCTTGACTTTATCCATGTACACTGCTAAAGTCCTTGCTAGTAACCTTTATCGCCTTACCAAAATGTCGCCAAACTACCTGTTACCATATTCCAAACATTAGCCCTTTAATTTAGCTGTTATGTATTTAGTTTTAGTTCATGAACACAAGAAACTAATTTTATTCAAGTTTTCAGATTTATCAGCATTTTCTACCCTTTTAATTGTTTAATTTATAAAATGCATTAGAAAATAATGTAAAATAAATGTGTATGTGCTTTTTGAGTTTTGGTAAGGAAGAGGAGGACTGATCTTCTAGCAGGGGTAAAAGGGGCACATTGGTCAAAACAGGTTGAGAACCACGGTTCTAAGCTAAACACTTGCCCCCTCACCCCAAAAAATGCTTTCATACGCTATATAATTAAGAAAAACTTTTCTATAAAACTTATTTTTCAATGGCAGCAAATCAAGTAAGTATTATGAACTTTCATATGGATGTTTTTGCCTCTACTTACAATGACACATAAGACTGCTCGTGCAGCTAACATTTTCCTATAAATAAAATCCTAAACACAACTATCCTTATTCAGTAATTTTAACCACTTGCTTCTCTCACTAAAATCTGGAGACCTTAACTTATCCAGGGTTCATACACATTGAAATTAAGTACTTTTAAGGAAAGCACATAGATATTAAGTACTCTTAAGGACCATTAATGGAAAAAAAATTATAGAACTGAATAAATTCAATTAAAGATATTAGCTATGCCTGAACTTCACTTTTGTGATACCAACCTAACAATGAAATAGATCCACAAATAGAAATTATTATAAAACATATTTCAGAATAAAAGTTATCAGGGTAGCATGTAAAATCATAATCATCATGATTTGTTACAGAAGACTGGCTATTTCCACCTCTGCCGCTTGCCTAGACAGAGGCCTCCTGATCAAAACAAACCTGAAAGCTGGTTGTAGATGTAGGCACAGTTAGCAAGATTTGAAAGTTAGTTGTGCTCTGCTTGTCTGATGCAGTTAGTGTCATAACTTCATGTAGAGTTCCTGGGGTTGTAACCCAGTTAATATATTTTTATATATCCATAATATATGCACATTCTTTACATGCATGCATAAAGCATACAAAAAAAAGTTTATGGCTTTGAGGTCCGGGTTATAGATCATTCTGGATAATGGAAATCCGGATTACGAACTTTGTACTGTAATAACTGTACATATCTTTGAGGAATAATTTTCTTTCTCTTTTTGTATTCACTTTCTTTCTTCAACATATTTCCTCTTCATTTTATAATTTTTGGATTTAATTAACGATTTCTGTAATTCTAAAAAAAATAAATGCATTTAGAATGTATAGGAAAAGCTGCTAATTTTATTTCTTTAGTACTATGAAAATTCAGAATAAATACAAAATGATAATGGGACTAGTTACAGAGCCAGTATAGCAGAATTTTTAGAATTTAGTGACACACCGAGCAAAAAAATCTAGAAATAACAAAATTTTGGAATTTAAGAAGGCACTAAGTCAGCAGAATTTAGGATCCACAGAGATTGCATCATGTGGCAAAATGGATAGTGCCAGCCCTTGTATGATGCACAAAGCCATAGCTAAGGTTTTCAGCACCCGGGGACAACTGAAGATTTTGTGCTCCCTTCTATAAGCCAAGAATGAAAAATCTTTCACTCTAAAATTTTTACATCTAGTAAAAGACTTCTAGTATCAGAAGTAAAACATTTAAATATTATGTTTTCATTGTTCTTCAGAAAATCCTCCAAAAAGTAATGGTTCATTCCAATCTTTCTGTAAAATACATCCATTACATGTTAATACCATGAAGACATGTTTCTGGAATCTTTTAGGTTTGTGGGTCTATAAATCTTACCTTCAAATTCTTTTAAACTTTCCAAGTTGCAATATCTAAAATCCTTACATAGTTATTTTGCTTTTGCTAAGAATTGTTTCTAAAGTGCGTTACAGCACAATTTAAGCATTTATAACCCTGCTTATTTTTCAGATTCAAAATATTGTATAACAAGTCGCCAAAAGGAAAGTAATGTTACTTTATAATATTACAGAGAAAAATAAAAATGTTTCATTTTAATGCTATTGCTTGAATACAATTTCAATATATTAGCATTACTTTAATGGAATTGATCAATGTTACTATCGGAAAATTCCCAGAATTCCGAATAAAATACTTTCTATAGAAACTGATCCTTAAACTGCCAAAATGTTGATAAGTCACCAAATTTGGAAGCGTTTAATAAAGCATTCACATTCCCAAAAGCAAAAAGTTGTTCGAAATGCTCATGTTTCACTTCTTCCTCAAACTTGAGTATCCCATCCTTTCTATTAGAAATAGGAACAAATTATAATCCATGAACCTATTCACGCATCCAAAAGATAACTATATTTATCAAAAAATCACCAAAAATATTTGTCCAAAATGTTAATTTACATTTAAAACAGTCATAAAAAACAAATTTGAGATGATTAAAATTAAGGACCTTCTGCAGAATTTTATCGAAATTAAGGAGCAAAAATCGATTCCAAAAAAATCTAAGGACTTTTAAGGACCGTACGAACCCTGTTAAGCAAGAGCGTAAACAAAGAAAGCTTGCTTCCAAATACAGCAAAAATTCCTAAAGGTAAAATGTTTTCAAACTTCAACAAGTCCCTTCATGGAAAACCTTTAATTCTAACACAGGAATTCAGGATGGGGGACTATGCATAGGTAACATGCATTCTGCTCAAATCTAGATTTTAAATACTTATAAGTTACCAATACAAGATAGGAGACCACATGTAGGTAACATGCATTTTTCTCAAACCCAGATTTAAAAAAAAAAAAAAAAAAAAAAAACTTATAAAAGTTACCAATACAGGATAGTTCCAATATATTTTAGCCAAACTCAGAGAACATTCATCCATTTAAATTTTCCACAACAGCAATTTTTTTTAGCAAGGTCTACAGAATTTATTAAAAGAGTTCTAAAGTTTCAAAATGAAAATTATCATTGCAAAACAGAAAAATAATTTTCTCTTTTATAAATGCTTCATTTTTGTAAATATCAATATTTGTCATTTTCATAAATGTTTTATTTAGGCAAATGGACAGAATACTTATGAATCAAAAGATCTAGTTAGTAAACAGTTGACCACCCGAAGGTAAAAATATAGAAAAGGCAAAATCAAGAGTTAAATTCATCAAATCTAATGAGAATGCACTAGCGAAGTAAAGCACTGCGGTTTTACATAATTTCTGAGTAAACTATTCACACGAATTGAAATAATTCTTGCATTTAAACTTGTATTCCTAAGATTTAGTTTAAAATTTAACTTGAAATTAATGTAGATAATTAGATTTTTATTTAATTACAATTAGATTAGAGATAATTTGAGACAATTAGATTTTTGTAGCGTAGTTTACGTGAGATAAGATAACATGGGGTCACGTGATACGAACCGGCGAATCAGGATGTTGAACCATGAAAGCATAGTAAATTCTTAATGTCTTAACAAATTTATTGTCTTTATTTATTGCCTTTTTATAAAATTTTAAACCATATTAAAATGTTTATGCTTTCAAAATAAAAAATTCTGAGAACTACCATTTTTTATGTGTATACTGTATGTTGTCGGCAACAAAGTCAGCTTGGCGAGATTTGCGCCGGCGAAATGGAAAAATACCGAATTATGCAATACATTAAAAAAATAAAACACATTCTTCTTCAAATCTTTCAGTTCTCCCCACACACACTATTCTTCTCACAAAGCACGCAGTGAT